CTCAGTTATGTCTCATGTGGCAGTATGCTTTTTACCTGTATAGTTGTATCTATACACGTAGATGTACCTATCTTGGTATAACAGTTATGTACCTTATGTACCTTTTGATTAACTGTGAGAACTGGCAGAAGCTCTATGGCTCTATGCAATTATGCAATGCTGTAATTCTATTTACCTTGGAAGACTTGGCAGCTACTGGGATATTTGTTAGGACCTTCTGGCACTAACCAAATACAAGCAGCTGAAACTGCAGTGGCACTAAATTTACATGAACAACCTTGCCATAAAGTGTAGAGCCAGATTTAAGAGGAGGGATAGGAGGTACAGCAAATGGGATTTTTAAGGGAAGACTGTAAGAGGTGGGAGTTGTTTTCAGTCTAAGAAAAGGCTGAGTGAAGATATAGCATTTTTTGTATTTATTAGTTAAGGACTGATGCAGAGAGGTGAAACCAATGCATCTGTAGATAAATTGTTCTCCAGCTCTACTGGGGATAGAATGGGTTTGAATCAAAGCAAAGGAATTGCAAGTTAGACATAGGAAAACCTTTCCACCCATGAGATTAGAGAAACACTGGAGGGGAATTGCCTAAGAAGGCTAGAAAGCCCCTCCTATTGTGGAGATTCTGTGAACTTCTGCTAAGAATGCTTTAGATGTACTTAGTCCTGTGACAGAAAGATGAATCAAATGATCTCTTGAATTGCTTTATTTTCTGTTATTCTATACAGAGGTATCTTGTGAAGCAGTGCTGGTGTATTTAAGAAATTCTCCTACTAGTTCCTTTTGTTCTTTCTCATAACCAAAAAATGCAAAATGTGCAATGTTTTTCAAACATCTTTTCTGCACTTAAATTTTATTGTGCTTCAAAGTGAGGGGAAAATTATTTCTACATAAAAATCTTGCCACATGAAATGGCTCTTGGCAGTTTTTCTTTCCAGTGATTCACTGATTCCCTTCAAGAAAAGACAGCTAGATAAAACTATAAGGATAACCAAAGCAATGTACATAGCAGCAGAGTAAGAGCTAAAATGTCATGGTGTGTAAGTAAAAAGGAAAATCTGGCACAGTGATCTGATATGCATATCTGGTCCCTGCAACTAGTCCATGGTGAGGAGGGAGGTTAAAGGCAAACAAGTGCAATTTCTATAGTGGTAGTGAGATCAGAAGTTAAGTTGCAATTGCAGACTTTTCATTAACAAAAACAAAAGCCACCCCCCTGCTCTGTCTCTTATTAATACCTGTCCTCCTTGATCATAACATTACAGCACCTTTCCTTTGAATGTTGCTCTCCTTGAGTCATTCACTGTTGCACCTTCTGCAAGGAAAAACAATATTCCTAACATAATCCTTATTCCACAAAAAGATAGAAAAGCAATTAAAAAAATAAAATGTAAGGACCATTTTTTCTGTTTCACAGTAGATACATTGAAACACAGTGTGAAAAAAAAAAGCCTCTAAAACTGTGATTCCTCAACCATTTCTTTTAGTCTACTTTATGATGCAGCTGCAAAGATACTGTTGATAGCCAGCAGAAGGGAGGAGGTGGTGTGAGGCTAGGAATCCCAATGGATATGGAAAAGGATGGGCATACTCCTTCCCTTCACAATGGCCACAAATAAGCTGAAAATAGGGAATTAAAAATTAAGTGCATTAGACCACCCTTCTAACTGCTGGTTACAGAACTAGAAAGACAACCTGATTTCTTAGCCTCCAGACTGCCAAATTTCCTTTAAAAAAACCCCAAACCAACTAAAAAACAAGCCACGCAAATAAAAACCCAGCACAACCATGCCTACTTTATTTCCTTCAAATTTAATTCTTTAATTTTAAAAAGTCCTGTCAACCTTGAATAATAATAATCATTAAAAAAGAGAATAATCAGCTAGATCACTGCTAAATACCATGTTCTTGCCATCTTTATTCTGTAGCCTAGCATTAGAAAATACTTTGTATGATCTAGACACTTTCTTCTAGTCTGTCACCTGTTTTCCTTCCCGTCTCTTTGACCTGGATGATTGAGCTCTAATAGCTCAGAGACATCCTCATGGTACTGCCCTAAACATGGTTGTTTTAGTCAGATAACAGCATGTAAAAAAAGTATTTTTGAATGGTCAAGTAGTGAATGTTTTGTTGTATGTCTGTGCTCCATAAAATCATAATATTCAGTTTAATGACCACTGAAGCAAGTAGTTATAAAATTGAGCACTTCCCTATCATCACAAATACACATATATATGTATACATCTACACAGATTTTGTCATTTTCCCAGCCTTTGATGTGTAGCTCTAGTGTCCTAGTCTCTTGCTCTGATCTCCCCAGCTGGCACTTAATAAAAATACAAGCACCACAAGACTTGGATTAAAATGCCAATTTCATTATTGCCAGTTCTATTGGGCATAACCGAATAAATCTTCCCTTCCCTGAAAACCTTCTAGATTTCTATGTACAGGACTGATTAAAAAGTTACCAGTAAGGCTGTATTGTACTCAATTACTAGCAAGACTATACTTTGCAAAAAACTTGCATCTTCTTTCCAGTCTAAGTTAGTCTTCCATAACTGATTTTTTTTTAAATTTTTTTTTTTTTCCCATCATTCTTGTTGCCTGGCCAATTGTATGCTACTAAGTGAGATATTTTACAGAAAATTAATATTACTATCTTTAAGCTACCTTCATCAACAACCACACAGAGAGCAATTAAATTTACTTTACCATAAGGCCACAGTGATATGCATTAATTCTATTAATCCTAAACTATTTATTGCATTCTATAGTAACAATTCTGTTGACTTTCTCTAGATCTGCATCATGATCACAAGCTTCTAATTCCCTGGATTATTTCATTTATGTCCTTAGGTTTCTTTAAGTCCTCTGAAAGCTGCCATAGTTTCCCAGCCAACAGAGAAAAGAAAGTATGTATGTCCACCTGCCAGCTCTTCTAAAAGAACTGGATACAAATTACACAGACTTGCAAATATCAAATTATGAACCTTAGTATCAGCTCATTCATGTCACTCTAATTATTCTTGATGTGGAAATATTTAATAGTCTCAGTTATACCCAACATCTGTGTCTTCCCAGATACACAACAGAAGTGCTTATTGATCTCTTTTTAATTAACTGTTACTAAAGCCAACATTTCCCTCTAGTAATGAATCACTATCAGAATTCCTGCAGCTTTGGCATACTCAGGAAAAAAAAAAAAAAAAACTTTATTGCTTCTATTCCTAACAATATTGGCAGTACCTTGTTCTTTGTATGTTTTTCTTGATTAAACTCCTACATTCTTAACCTCTGGTTTGTATTCAATATTACTGGGGCTTTATGCAATTCTAACTTTGTCTGCTTGGTGTTTTAATTAGTATGATATTCCTTCTGAAGAAAGGTGGCGGCTTTTTCAAACAGGATTAGTGACTGAAGAACTATTCTTAATTAGCATTCATAGTTTTCTGCACTTTCCCTCCATCCTCTGATGAGCCTATGCCTTCTAATTGAATTGACTTAGCTGAAAATACAGTGGTTTGGATGTTACTCATGCTTGCAGATAACAGTATAAATTATCACGTTTTCTTGTACAAAAAGCTACAGTGGTTTTTCAGTTTGTGACCTGTTTTTCATATGGTAAGGTGACTTCTTAAAGAGTCTGGTTGTGCCAGTGACATTTTTGTCTCTAAACACTCTATAGATAGCACTATGACTTCCCTCCTGTGTCCATACGTGTTACTCAGAATTTAGTTATTCATGATAATGTTGATTTTCACCCCTCCCATGTTGTTACACATGGGTGCAATCATCTTGGGATTTTTATTTGATTCAGTAGATTGTAGTAGACACCTATTAGTAAATTACCTAGTATTTGTATGATACAGCACTTATTTCATAAGCATTAGGTATGGTGTTTCTCTTGAGCTGTCAGAAACAGTGTAATTTTTGATAGAAATGGCCATTTTCCTTTTTTTTTTTTTTACAAATTGCACTCTCATAAATATATTATTATTACTGTTATTATTATTATTATCATCGTCATTTAACAACCCAAGAATTAGACTTGCCACACCAGCTTTCAATAGCACCACCTAGGCTTTTTGGTTTATAGCCCAAGCTCCAAGTGTTATTGTACCAACCAATAAATTACTTCTTTCTTATTCTCTAGTGTTAATGTGAGTTCAGGGTGCTAAATACTGCATTAGGCTGCATTAGCAGTGACAACAAGGTAGAGTACTACTGATGATGAGAGCACTTTCACTGGGACAGTCTGCTAGAACTGTAGAATGTACAACTGATGATGTTGAATCAATGTGTTTATAAGATGTATTTGGATTCATCCAGTTGTGGGGCTGTTCTGTGAAAAATGAGGATGACTGCCGGCCAAACTACATCACACTTCACTGTCATTTCTAGAAATACAATAAGTAATAATTTCATTAAATGTTCTGATTCTAATGAAAAGATATGTTTAAAATGTTTCCAACTATATTGGTTGCTTGACCCACTTTCTGAATGACTGCACCCTCTAATGGGGTAAACCAGATTGACTTTCAAAGCAGCCAGTTTATTTTTATGTTGTTTATATCCTCCTAGTCCTTATTAAGTATAATACAACAGCCCATTCTTGACAGTAAAACAAGCATAGTTTTTCTGAATGTAGATTACAGGGGAGGTGTGAAAATCCAATAACTACTTTATATGATTCATCTCCACTCTGGGCTAATGAAAAGTATGTACATAGCTGTAAATGTTAATGGTGCAAATGAGAAATTAATTTTAATGAAATCATAGAGAATTTATTTAAGTCCAGAAAAAAAAAAGGGGGGGGGGGGGGGTTGGTGTTTGGGTTTGGGTTGTTTTTTTTTTTCTTCTTCTGTTGTTTTTGTTTTGTTTTGTTTTCCTTATTTTGTGAAGCCATTGTTTTTTTCCAATGCTTTGTGGAGGAGTAAAACTTTGAACAATGAAAGTGAGATGAAACATACACCTAACAGTGAAGTTGCATCTTTTCAAACAGGTAGTTCTCTAATGGATCAATGAAAGCCAACGATGACAAGTTGTGGTCAACAGTCCTTGAATGTGCTGATGGTTCTGCTTTCATTACTCTTGTCAGCAGGTAACTTTCATACTTTGAATTTATCTTTCACCAGTGTGTGCCTCAGGGAAAAATTAGTTGCAACTTAATACTGGGTTCCTCTAAAACAAACAAGATTGTTAACTAAGTAATACATAAATAAAGCCTCTTCGTATTTGAGAACTGGAAGCTGGAATTTGAAATGCAATTGAAATTTAAGTTTAAGAAGGAAAATGTGGTGGGACACTGACATGGTAAAGCAGGCTGAAAATTTAAAAGAAGCAGCTCTGATATGCTAGTTTTTCAGCTCATCTAAAAGAATAAAGCAACCTCAACACCACCGTACCGTCCAGTTTTGCTAAATAACAATCTATTGGTAGCAGAGCAAGATGATTTTATGCATATGCGTTCAAGAGTATGCAAGCATGTGAAGGATTGAACTTGGAACCTTGGCAGTTCTTGAGATGAATACATTTTAGATACAATGTAACTTGTAATGCATTTAGATACAATGTAACTTAACTATTAAGAAACATGCATGCCTACATGGTATGTAAATATTATGTTTTTTTTCTTGAAATCTAAAAAAGTGGCTGGACCAGGAAGCAATTCCAGCTTTTTTTTTCCTGATGCTTAGATCTGCCCTAGATGTTTGCTACTAGCACACAGAAATGATTTGTGCAGAAAACTGTCAGTTGTTATATTGAGAGTTAGTTGAATGCTATGACTGTTAGTTGTATTTATTAATCTCATGTTATTTATTGCATTAAGATTTTCTGTAATTGAATATTTTTCTAAAAAAAAATAAAAATAGCCCAAATAGATTTGATCTTGTGAGTTTTTAACTCTAAGTACAACCTCTTTTATCTTCAATTCTTGAAGCACTATTGATCCCAAAAGATTGTTTTTCCCATCACTGTTCCTTATTCACTTCTACTACATTACTTACCTAACCACCACACTAGAAACTTTACCAGGTATTATATATCTTAAAGTATCCTTGTGCTCCAGAAAAAGGTGTTAGTACTTTGTATGCAGGGTTAGATTCTTGTCAATTAGTTCAAGTGTGAGTTTTGTTGTCACAGTCTCATTGCTTGTTTGGAAGCATTCAGGTTGATTTTGCTAATGATAGGTCATTATTTGGCTGTAACTGCCGCACTCCTTTTGATAACAGTGTTAAAATATTAAAACACTATTTTTCTTTAGAGTCCTTCCACTGAGGCCCCTATGTATGGCTCTGTATCTCTAGTTGTGTAACTACCCTCCTCTTCTAATAGAAGCAGATACAGGGGATGTACCAGCTTCTTTGTTTTTTTCCAGGTTAAAGTCAGTTCAGAAAGTTATTCCCCTGGTTCATGAATGAAGTCAATTATTCAGGAAGACTTCAGTAAATGTATCCCATTGATCAAACATCTCCAGCTGCTCCAATCCCTTTTGTTCATTTCTGTTTAGTTTTTATACATTTACTACCCTTTATAGGGGACTTCTGTTAGAGAGCTCCCAAGATGCCAATTCTCAACCATTTTAATCAGGATGATATAAATACCTATCTTCCAGTTGAATGGGACACTATGATTATATCCTGTGTGCAAATAAAAGTAGTCAGCTACCGATACATATACATGCTTGTATATATGCAACTATTCCTGATACAACCCAAACATAAACCACTGTTTTGGGTTTGAGTTTTTTTGGTTGTGGTTTGTTTTTGTTTTTGTTTTATCATCTTAGAAGAAAAGTACTGCCTCTGAAGTACTATTTGAAACTGCTGTTTCTATTAGAAGCTACTCTCTCTGGAATAATACGGACATAACTTTTAAACTGAGCTGAAATGCAAATCTACTGGCAAGACTGCTTCTGAGTTCTCTAGATTTAGACTTAAGTCTATAAGGTCATGCTTTACTTCCAAGTCTTTGATATACTAAGATTCATAGCCTTAATACTAAATTTCTAAAATCTGTATGCAAGGTTGAAAATCACACTTAACAATTGGAGGTGTAACTTTCATTTGCTCCACAGACAGAATGAAAGTAAAGGCATGAGTAACAGAAAAGTTCCCAGGGCAGCTGTTCTCAGGGGAGCAGATGTGTGGTCAGATACCAAGGTCATGGCTCACAATGAGGTTGCAGTTTGGCAGCTTTAGCTGTGTGTTTAGGGAATTAATGCACCTTTCTGACACGGCTAGAATGATCTCAGACCAGGGACAAATAAGACTGAAGAAAAAGGTTTCAGTTCAGAACAGGTAGGCTATGGCTTCATTTAAAAAAAAAAAAAAAAAAAAAGGATGAAATTGGATTGAGAGTACTGAAACTTCAGTCTGATTTTATTTCAGTACCATAAATGGTGTGCATTTTTAGGTTTTGTGAAAACAGTTGTAATAGCTGCACAGGAATGTGTAATACAGAGAGGAGCAGCATGCAGTTATGCCAGATGAATACCCTTTCTGACCATTAACTCTTAGGTTTGCTTCGCAGTAACGTTGATCTTTACATTCATGTAATGGATTGAAACACATTCATAAAAACAGGGATGACAGCAAGGCTTATATTAACAAACAAAAATTGCCAGATTATTTGCACATTGCAGTATTTTTCTTTGAAGTCGGAAATGAACGTCCATATAGCAGAATTAGCAAGAGGATCTCAAATGATTGGCATTGTGTGAAGTAAATTGCATGCAAGTGCATATTTTTGTGGATCCATATGGAAAGTTTATACAGACCAGCCGTTCTGAAAGCCTTGGGGCTTTAAAAATTTAGTAGCTAAATTAAAAATTTAAACAACATTATGCATATCCCTAACTGTGAACACAGAGGGAAGCAACAGTTTGATGTGCACTGGCTGTTTACTTTTTAAGGTAGAGTAGATAAATACTAAAATGACCTTTAATCGGTCACTTGAAGCATGGCAGACTATTGTCCTCTCAAAATTAGTAGGAACAGATACAGGCATCCATATCACTTACCTGTTTAATCATATATTTTTAAAACTAATATGAGAATTTGCTCTTGCAGCTCCACTTCAGAAACAGCTGCCATCTTTGCAACAGACAACTTAAGAGCTTTTCAGGTACAATACTTTCACCTGGAGAAATAAGGCTCTTTAATCCTCAGGATTTAAGTAAAGTTATTTTCAGGAAAAATACATTAAAAAACCTACTTTGTTTATTGGGTCTTTTTTTCTCAGAGAATAAAACACAGCAATTAAAATTACACGGGTTACAATAAACTAATAGTTTTTTTCACTGTGTACTATGTCTGGCTGGTGTGGGGTTGATGTTTTTCATAGCAGCCCAAATGGTGCTGTCTTTCAGATTGGTGACCAAAACAGTGCTGGTAACACAACAGTAATTTAGGTGCTGCTGAACAGTCCTTACACAGGGCCAAAGCTGCTTCTGTTTCTTAGTGCGCCCCACTGAGGAGGCTGGTGTGGGCAAGAGCCTGGCAGGGGACTCAGCTGGCACAGATGACCTGAACTGGCAGAAGTGATATTCTGTAACATATAACAGCATGTCAGCAATAAAACTGGGTTGGAGTTTATCAATAAATTGTTCAGGGACTGGTTTGGCTATCAGTCTGCTGATAGTGAGAGTGCTTTGGCATCACTTCTGGGGTTTTGGTTGGTTTTTTTTTCGGGGGGGGGGGTTGGGGATGGGGTCTCGTTGTTTTTTTGGGGGGTTGTTCAGGCAGTTTTCCTTATTCATTTATTAAACAGTCTTTACCTCGACCTACAGAATTTCTTGTTTTGCCCTTCTGATTCTCTCACCCATCCCACTGGGAGGGGGAGTGAGCAAGGAGCTGTGTGGTGCTTAGCTGCCTATCAGGATTAACTCACCACACACTCTCTACCAAATGCAGACTGTAACTCAGTCATCATGTTATGCTCTTATTTGTGCATTTATTTTCATCACTGACATACATTTTACTATTTAAGGATTTGCTTAGGACATTTTATTACAGACATCACTCCTCCTCTGACCTGACATTATCTTCATTCTCCTTTCATTCTGCAGTAATCCTTCCTCCAGTTTCATCCCCAAAGAAGTCTGGGGTTTGTTTTCCTTTCAAAGTAGGCAAAGGATCCATCTAGAAATTGGGGTTCAGTTTCACATGTGCTGTTAAATAAACCACTTTGCGGTGATGAGCAAGTTAAATCTCTTAGGGTCCTATAGTCCTCTAGTGCATTCTCACAGTGCAATGTCTCTCTCAGACCACTGAATAATTACAGAATAATTGGTTGATTGATTGAAACAGAATTTCAGAAGTATTGATTGTTTATGAAACAGAAAGAATGAGTTTTAATTCTCATAAGATGCACTAGATGTATATACAGGTCAGGTAAAACCTTTCAGGACTTCTGTTCACCTGTGACAGCTTAACAGTCTTGAAATACAATTATGATTCTGTTGACAGCCGCCTGATAAAATTTGTGTTACTCTCCATCTATCAAAGAAGAAAACTTTCTTCTGTAGGAGCAGCTGATATAATCAAAGTGCAGATATTCCAACTAAGAAGGTGTAAGTCAGGATGGCTAAAACCTGAGAACTGTCAAACTGATCAGGTCAGTAATATTTTTTCTTTGCAGCTGCAATTGAAGTAGTACATACATTAAGCCATCTAATTCTGCTAAGAAATCTGTAGGTTCAGTGAGAGTTTTCCTTCAGCTGGATATGGAGAACACCAGACAAAGTGGGGAGAGAAAAAAAAAAACCAAACACAAATGGTTCCTGTTGATAAAGAAGTGAGAAGAGTGGTTGATATGCCATATGGTTGTGCTGCTATCCAGAGGGACCTGGACAAGCTGGAGAAATGGGCTGACAGAAGCCTTATAAAGTTTAATAAGGGGAAGTGCTAAGTCCTGCATTTTCTGGTGGAGTAACAATGTCAGGCACCAGTATATGCTGGGGGCCAGCTGGCTGGAAATCTCTTTGTCTTTGTGGCTCCTTTAGTAGAAGTACAGCCAGCAGGTCAAGGAGGGTGATGGAGCTACTAGAAAGAGTTCAGTAAAGATGTACTGGATTATGAATGTGACTGGAGTATCTCTGATATGAGGAAAGGCTGAAAGGGCTGGGACTGTTCAGTCTCAGGAAGAATCATACCAATGTGTGTAAAGACCTGAAGGGGAGATGTAAAGAAGATGGACCCAGTCTCTTTTGTTTATTGCTCAGTGACAGGACCAGAAGTAATAGGCACAAACTGAAACACAGGAGGTTCATTCTGAACATCAAGTAACAATTTTTTTCATTGTGAGGGTGACTGAGCACTGCCACAGGTTGTCCAGGGTGGTTGTAGAGTCCCCACCCTTGGGGAGAATTCAAAACCCATCTGAACAAGCTTCTGGGCAAAAGGCTCTAGGGGACCCTACTTGAGCAAAGCGGTTGCACCAGATGACCTCCCTTCTAACTGCAACCACTGAGGTTTTTTGAAACTTAATCCTGGAACACTTTCTTTATTGCTATGTTAATTAAGGAGGGGTGCAGGAAAATGAGTACTCGTTCAAACAAATATATGTTCATGTGATTACATGTTTTGAGGATTTTTCAATAGAATTGGGACATGCAGATCCTGTTGCAAGACTTACAGAGGGTTTTGGAAACCTAAGTCTAAAAGACAATTTCTTTGCTGATTATAGCATTCGCAGATTTGGAACACACATTTTTTTTCCAGGCAGGCCAAAAACACATATGTAACTAGTTTTCTCAGTATCTATGTTCCTTTAGAAACAGCATACTCCTAGTACTTTCAGTTCCTGACTGATGAATCTACAAAAGGATTTTCTCTTTTGTTAAAGTAATGATGACAGATGTGTGTTGTATGCATGCAAATGTGTGTGTGTGTTTATACACATATATATCAACGTAAAACATTTATAATGATTTTCCTTCACTCAGATGGCAGTACAAGGTACCTTGTTTTCTTTTTGTTTTGTGTTGTAGGCTACCTCTATACACGCTAATAAAGAAGTAGTCTCCACGGTCTCAATCTTTAAAATTTTGCTAGACCTACAGAAAGAGAGTGAGAAATTCTTGAAATTAATAAATTTCATAAAATTGAGAAACAAAACTTTTAGGAGTAGCCTTTTTCAAGCAACATAAAAAGAAATAAGGATTAGATAGATAAGGTGCACAGAAGCATTTACAGATCAACAGGGGCTGTGCAGAGATTCAATAGATTTAAGCTAAATCTGTGCAAGTCATTATTTGTAATCTCTTGTACTGATAAATCGATACAAAAAAGCATACACCAAGTTACAAGGGTTAATTCTGTCAGTTTAAAGTGAATAACCTTTACTAATTGGTGAAACCTCATGAAGTGATCCATAGCATCACTGTGTCTCTGTTCTCTAATTAGAATAAAAACATTTCACTGCCAAGCATATTTAGAATTGACTTCTATGTTTCACTTTCTGTAGAGTGTAAGGTTTCTGGGTCATCTGTATAGTACACGTAATCTTAAATGATGTCTTAAGGCCTACATAACATAAACTATAAAACAGTTAAAATTTTGGCAGAATGTGGAACCAAATGTTGTATCTTATAAGGCTCTTCTGATCAACCAGGAAGTTATGTGTGATTGCTTATGCTTGTACTAGAACGGATCAATAACCTGCCCCTCTGCAAGCTTCATTAGCTCTTGGAAGCTAAGACAATTGCACAGCTTCCAGTTCAGAGCTGTTTGCAATCAGTAGGCTTAAAGTATGGTCAGAGAGCTTGCATCTGCCCACAGTCTTACCATGTAGGTGTAACCGCAGTGTGCCTGTTGCTGCACAATTATCAGCCTCAAGTCTGCTTTCAAAGGATATATATGGAGAGGATTCCACCCCCTCCCCCCACCAAGAAAAGTTATGGTGAAATCAGTGTGACATATTCCTGTAAAAGATGTGCTCTTTATATGAGCATTTAATAAAGGAGAAATGTAAGAACTCCCATGAAGAACTGTATTTTATTAGTTCTGTCTATTTGAAAAATCAAGGTTGCTCAGATCTATTATGCTGTTTTGTAACTACTATTTCTGGCAGAATAATCCTTATCAAAGAATGACCTTTACACTAGAGAAGATATTTTCTGTCAAGAACAGTGACTGTAAATCAAGTGCCATCAAACTTTTATTGCAGTTTTTGCACAGACTTTTTGTTTTTATGAAGTCATCCCAGGAGACTTAAACATGGACATTGTTGGTGTTTATGGATATCCATATATTTAGAACAGCAATATCAAAGCGTTTCCCTAAATATTTTTGTGTTTACTGACATAGAGGGCATTTCTTCCCTTACAAGGACTAATAGTAATCAGAAAAAGTTACAATTAAACTAAAAACAAGAGGTGAAATATTGTACTTTTTTAATACTAAATATTATACTGTCGAAAGTTCTGAAACTTTCCTGGTTTTCAATAATCAAACAATTGTTTAAGCTTAACCAACGAAAAATGACAGTTTATATCATACAGATAGCACAAGTGACTCACAAAGCCAATATTGTTCTTTGTTTTACAGTGTTGTCTGCACATTTTCGGGTCTGTGAGCCGTATACGGACTACAAAGGTCGCTACCACTTTGGTTTTCACTGCCCCCGTCTTTCTGACAATAAATCTTACATCTTTTGCTGTCACCATAACAACACAGTATTTAAATACTGCTGCAATGAGACAGAATTTCAGACTGTTATGCAGATGAACCTAACAGGGAACGCAGATGGATATATGCATAAGTAAGTAAATGAGTTTTAAAGTACTCTTTACCAAACTGTTCCTGGTCTAATAACATAGTCTGAGGTGTGCTTAATGATGAAAGCAATTAGAATAATTGCACATACAGAAAAACATTACTAAAAGGTTTTTGCTGCTACAGAACTCCAAAAGGAAAGGATATTTTAGCTTTTTTTTTTTTTTTTTTCTTTGACATGGGCTATAAACATTGCTAGGAGAGTAATCACTGGTGCTGGGGAACAGAACATATTTGCTTATATATCAACACTGTGTGGTCTCCTTGCCTGTTACCTGGGATACATCCATGTACTTCTGGCGACTGTCCTCTTATGATGAATGTCAACAACTTTGTTCATAAAGAACCAAAGTACCAAGTAGATCTTTGTTACTGATTACCTATTTACGATGTCAAAATCTTCACTTGTGGTTTGTCTCTTAGTATTTTCTTCTCTAGCCATACAAATCTGCTACGATTTCTCTTGGTGCAGAAGGCAACTTTCAGCTGATGTAAACCCCCCAGGCTGAATTCTGATCATTCTGCTTCCCCCTGCCTACTTTTTCTTGAATGCAGCCCCTTCAAGGCAAGGAAGGAGAAGATTAAAGACAACTGGAATTCCAGTCTATTGATTTTTGTTTACTACAGGGATTTTAGTGTTGTTTTCTGCAGTGCAAAAGTCAGTCAGTGTGTTGCCATTCATTCCCACGGAAGCAGGTGCAGGGCTGTTAGGAGGCTATGGTGTTGGAATACTGATGTCTGCTCTTTTAACTCACTGCCTGCAGCTGTGCCAGCAAACCGTCGTTTTCCTGAACAGCCCCTCCTTATACAGCTCTACCTAGAGAAGTCTGAATCTTGCATACATGTAGAAGTTGCATGCTCTTAATTTGACAGTTGTTACATGACAATCACCTACTATAAAGAAGTCTGCGTACTGTGTGGTGTAAAAGAAAGACAAAAATAGACTCTGCCCTTATAAGATGCCTTATATTAATGTGGATTTATACTGTCTTGTTATTGCATGTGCAGCTATGTCCTTGAGGTGAAATTTCCTTGCCTTGGCTTCATAATGCATCTGAGAACATCATGAGAACATATCACACAGAACACTGGGGAGACATTTCAAGTCTAACATGCCGATTAAAGGCTACACATTTTCTCCACTCGTGCAGTCCAGACAACCTAGAAACCGGTAGCACCCTCATCTGGGGCTATTCAACTCTGTTAATATGTCTCTGGGCAGCCTTCTAGAGTTTATACCACAGATGCCCCAGTGCCCAAATGCAATGCATACTCTACTCTTGCTCGACGGTAAAAGTCGGATGTGCTTCCCCTTTGTTTACTGGGATGACTATGCTACCATGGCAGCAGCTGGATGACTGGCTGAAAAGAAGTCCTAGCAGGACTCTTAGTACAGAAGGGTTGTGCATACATTCACAGACAGAGCCAGAAACTGCTTCACACTCGGAGCAGTAAAAAGAAAGTCTCAAGAATGGAGTAGCATGGCTTTTGCCCCTGCACTCAGCTCTTTGTCTCGCACACAGCAAATTAATTTCTTCCCTTAATATTCTGTAAACCCTGCACCAACCCTGTTAAGCAACCAAGTCTGCCTAACAGGCAACTTCATCACAGAGTTTGGGATGTGGCCAGATATTACTGTGCTAAGGTCTGGCTGTTCTTCTCACTAACAACCTGAGTAGAGCAGCCCAGCAAAGAGGGACATGAGGTGTTGGCTGATGAGAAACTGAGCATGAGCCAACTTCAGTGTGCACTCCCAGCCCAGAAAGCCAACCATAACCTGGCCTGCATCAAAAGGAATGTGACCAGCAGGTCAAAGGAGGTGATCCTGCCCCTATACTTCACTCCTGTGGAACCTCACTTGGAGTAGTGTGTACAATTCTGGTGTCCCCAACATAAGAAGGACATGGAACTGTTCAAGGAAGTCCAGAGAAGGGTTATGAGGACGATCAGGGCGCTGGAGCACCTCCTGTATGATGACAGACTAAGAAAGCTGGGACTATTCAGCCTGGACAAGAGAAGGCTGCGTGGAGACCTCGTAGCAGCCTTCCAGTATCTGAAGGGGGGCTATAGGGATGCTGGGGAGGGACTCTTCATCAGGGACTGTAGCAGTAGGACAGTGGGGAATTGGTTTAAACTTCAACAGGGGAAGTTCAGGTTAGATAAAAGGAAGAAGTTCATTACTGTGAGAGTGGTGAGGCACTGGAAGAAGAAGCACTTGCCCAGAGAAGTTGTGGATGCTCCATTCCCGGTAGTGCTCAAGGCCAGGATGGACAGAGCCCTGGACAACATGATCTAGTGTAAGGCATTCCTCCTCATAGCAGGAGGGTTGGAACTACGTGATCTTAAGGTCCTTTCCAACCCTAACTTCCAACCTTAACCATTCTATGATTCTATGAAATGGACAGAGTAATCATCCACTTTCCAAAGCAAACATGCAGAGGAGCAGGTACAGTCTGATTGCAAAATATACACTGGGACATAGAACATTTCTCTTCCTCCTCCATTCTCTGCTTACATGTCTGCTCACATATGTACGTGTACACACACATGCACCCCTCATGACTCCCCCCTCCCCCCCCCCCGAAATAAATATAGGGTTGTTCCTATTATAGGGCCATTGTGTGAGCAGTTCCTCAATGAGGAAAATATAATTTGGTATTCTACGAACTATTATATTGATTTTAATGAAAATATTCAGGGAGCAGTGTCAGTATTACACTATTTCCATTTAGCTATCTGTTTGATTTGGGGGTTTGGATTTGTTGTTTTTTTTTGTTTGTTTGTTTGTTTGTTTGGGGTTTTTTTTCTTTAAAAAATCAGCTCACTCAGTTGTGATGGAGAAGGAGCTACGTCTGTAGTCTTTGTTGGTAAGATTAATGGTTGAGCCCTACCCACACACTATTTACCATGTATGTTGCCATCCAGAATTTCCTGTGGACATTTAGCTGTCCGCTGATCTTTTGCCAAGGTGTGTGAAATCATGCTAAATACAATAAAATGCTTCTGGAGATGTAGCTTAGAGAAGTGAAAGAGTGGAACCAATATTGCCTTTTTGTTACTTCCTGAAACACCACTTCTGGTATCAGTCAGGGCTGGGAAAATGTAGATGCTAGCTTTCTACATAAAAATCTACCATTGTAGTGAGATAGAGGGAGGGAGATCTCTGCACCCTGAACTCACTGAGATTAGTAGAAAACTGCCCAGTAATTTTAGTATGCCGTAGAAGGGCAGAAATAAGTGAAGCTTAGATACCTACATTAAAAATGTTGTAAAAAGCGTTTTAGTACACTCTGACTTTATTTAACATATATGGTAATTTAACTTTATTTGGATTCCAATACATCCAGGATTCACTTTACAGTAACTCTTTGTTTGGATCTAATTTCACACACCACTGAAAAAAAAATTCTAATGAAACCTATTTTACTGTGGCTGGGGAGAATGATTTAGGGTAGGTGAGTAGCTATGAACTGAAAGAAAGGATTATAGTTTTCAGGGAAGAGTGATTCAATATTATTACTTGGTTTATTTCAATATTATTATTTGGTTTATTTTTCCCCTTGGCCATTCTTGCGATCATGAAAACAAGTTTCATGTTTTATAATACAGTTGAGGGAAAAATTAATGAAGTGACTTGTAACTTCTTTGTTGTTGCACAGCTGAAAAAGCACATTTATCTTCTACACTCACATGGTATAATATAGCCAGGTTTATTTACATTTTTTCCATTACTATAACAAAAAAATCCTATGTTTTTAAAAGTGCATAGTACTGGGCTCTTATATCTTTGTGATTGTGCAGATTAATCAGTCTAATATTTTTGAATGTGAAAAATCCATTTAGTATTAAATATAGAAATACCAATGGTGTCTAACAGATGAGAAAAGTTCTGCCATCCAAAGTATTTTTCCATAAAACTTTGTCTAATAAGTGAAGACATTCACTTCAATCTAACATTCATACCCTTTCAGATTTCCTATTATGCATGTTTTGGTGGGTTATCAGCAATATTGCTATCCATGGGGTGCTTAATCTGATACTGGAACAGTGTTATGGCAGTCTGTAATGCGTCCATGTTTTTCCTTATCTCTTATTCTAGTTTTTCAGGATTGAATGGCTTTTGCACACCACACTACAACATTGCACCAAAAGCAATCCGAGGATAAAATAGCACATGTACAGCACATCCCCTGCAGAGCTGTCATTTGCTTAAATATCTCCCAGAAAATCATGTTTGCAAGAAAGCAAATAAATAAATAAATAAGATTGTCAATTCCACTACCAACTGCTGCAAAAATATGTTGTTTAGCTGGGAAGACCTTTTAGGTACTACAGTAATAGATTCTGCATGAGAACGCTGGGTTGGGAAAATGCCTTAATATAATATAATAATAAAATAGAAAAAAATATCACATTTAAAGTATATACATAAAAACTGCACAGATTTCCACAGTGTTGGGAGCATGAAGCATTCCCTGGGATGTAAGCTTGCATTTCCTTAAGGCAACATTGAGAAGGTGTTACTACTCTGAGTAGCAGCCCTGTTTAAGAAAAATAGGGAAAGAATTAGTTTCCATGGCCATCTGCCCATATTTAAACTCTGCAGCTGTAGAATTCTGCTCACAGTTGTTCTGATTTGTTGGTTTTTTTAAGCCAGAATTCCCAAATTAACTATTTTCTGTTCATGTCCTGCACATTAAAAAAAAAAAAAATACAACAAACTCTTGTAAAAGAAAAATATATCCTGGTCCTAACCTGCTTGTCGTCTGTCTCAAAAAGTTAGTGGATAAGATGGAAGAAGTCATGTGGGTAATAACAGTAATAGAAGTACCTGACTTTTTATTTGCATGTAAGTGTGTTAGAGAAATCTAAGCAAGGCTCTGTAGATGAAAAAGGAGGAGATGGATGGTAAAAGAATTTACTGTTCTCAAAGAGCCCAGTTCAAGGCTCCCTGAAGTCTGAACAAACCTTTCCACTTATGCAAGTGGGCTCTGTATCAAGGCTAATCAAATACACACCATATTTCCTTAAAAGATGAAGTGTCTTAAAATAATGACCTACTAAGCTTTTCTGGTGGTCCGTGAATTATCCTTTTTCACAGGGAAGCTGAAAGGAAATTGTCTTGTAACTTATCCTCCAGATTTAGCTTTTGTATTTGTGTGCCAGCAGCAGTAGAAGACGGGGAAACATAGCTTTAGAATGAACTTTTACTGTTGTACTGCTAAACCTTTTGTTAAGCCTAAACAGAATCCTCCAAAATAATTGACTGGGATGGGCAAGAGAACTAGCAGGGCAGGGCAAGCTACCCAGGTGGGGAAGGGGAGAGGAGAGACAACCTTACCAAAAAAACTAATTATACTTGATTGTCCCTGTGAAGGAGCAAACCCCTGCAATTTGAATCTTGGTAAACTTGGAATCTTTTCACACTTTATTTTTAGTTTAAATGAAACTTCTACACAAAAACAAACAAACAAAAAAAAAACAAACAGGAAAATCAGGTTGCAATATGAAACTTTAACAATTAAATCATTTAGTTCAGTGAAATGAGAGCAAGTCTTAGTTGATTTTTGATTCCCAGTCTGTCTCTGGTCTTACAGAATTAGAAGTCTGGTCTGCTTTCTAATTAAGACATTATCTTAATTTGTAGGGGAATTTTATTTTTTTTCTATAATTAGTAGCCATTACATCTTAATAGTCTGAGAAAAGGAAAATATCAAAGTATGGAATTACCCTCTGTGTACAAAACATACTACTTATTAATTTTGCTTGTGATTTTTCACAGGGCCCTCTTGATAGTCCTGTTGTCCCATTGTTTGTTAATTAAAGAAATCCTTCAATTTGTCCTTGTGAGAAACAGATGTTATTTAGAAGGAGCAGATGGATAACTCACATATGGCATGATTTATAAATTGTTGCTTTAAATTGGAACATTCAAAATAGGTCTAATTTTGCTAACCAAAATTTTGATGGGTGAAACTAAATACCTAAAATACAAAAAAATTCTTTTCAGTTAACTGTAAGAAGAGTTCCTTGCTCTCCTATTGTTGTCAAAACAATTTCCATTCTTGTTATAGATCAATTACAGCTCACCTATTAGTAAACTGGATCCTATTGGTATTAGCGATGAATAGGATTTATTACAGGGTATTTCTTCCTGATTTCTCCAGGCTTTGCTTCCATTTTCTTTATAGTAGCAGAAAATTTGTAACAGTTTCTGAAACTGATTTTTTTTTTCCATTCAAAGCACTTTATTTACTTTATTACATTGTATATTACACTTAGTTTTGGAAGCACCTTTTCAGTTACTGCAGAAACAAACCTCTATCACTCCTTTCCTCAATCACTATTTCTTTGACAGGAGAAATTGCAGCTATTTTGTGTACAACCTGCTTGATTTTTAATTACTGCAGAATCATCGATTGGAGTAATCCCAAGCACAAATACAGGCTGGATGGAGAATGGATTGAGAGCAGCCTAGAGGAAAAAGACTTGGGGGGTGTTGGTTGATGACCCAGCAGTGTGTGATCACAGCCCAGAAAGCCAGCCGTATGCTGAGTGGCACCAAAAGGACCATGGCCAGCAGGTCAAAGGAGGTGATCCTGCCCCTCTGCTCTCATGAGACTCCACCTGCAGTATTGCATCCCGCTCTGGGGCCCCCAACACAAGAGGGACATGGACCTGCTGGAGTGAGTCCAGAGGAGGCCATGAAGATGATCAGAGGGATGGACCACCTCTTCTATGAAGGCAGAGAGAGTTGGGCTTGTTCAGCATAGAGAAGATTCTGTTAAGACCTTGGAGCAGCCTTTAAGTACCTAAAGAGTGCCTAAAAGGAATCTGGAGAGGGAAATTTTACAAGGGCATGTAGGGATAGGACAGGGGGCAATGGCTTTAAACTAGAAGAGGAGGATTTTGATAAGATATTAGGAGGAAATTCTTTGCTGTGGGGGTGGAGAGGCACTGGCACAGGTTGCCCAGAGAAGCTGTGGCTGCCCCATCCCTGGCAGTGTTCAAGGCCAGGTTAGATGGGGCTTTGAGCAACCTGGTCTATTGGAAGGTGTCACTGCCTGTGGCAGGGGGTTAGGGCTAGAATTAGACAATCTTTAAGGTCCCTTCCAACCCAAACCATTCAGTGATTCAGTGAAAACAGAAGTTTTACCCCAACAGGAATAAATCCACTGAAAGTCAAGAGTGACACTGCTGAGAAGCCTGGATTAATCAGATCCTATTGTACTTTGAAGTGTCTGGACTGCAAACATTTTAATGCATTACAAATATCTAACCACTGTTGTGTGAATTTAAGCATGCATGTGTAAGTCTTTAGTAGAGGCAAAGACTCTTGAGTTAAAGGTTTTCAGAAGCACTGTATTTTTTCTACTTCTAATCCTCCTGGAAATTTAATGAATTTGCTTTTAAATCCTACGTGTGCATAATCCTAACATTACACAGGGATGGACCCATTAGCAGTTCTGACCTTCCTCTTGTTCCTCACAGTTTTTTTGCTATGGAAAATTCTTTCTATCTGATTTCTTGTTTCAAATCCTCTTTTGGTTTTGGCTTGGGTTTTTATTTTTAAAGTATAAAATGAAAGAGTCACACAGAACTTTAAATGGAAATGAAAGTTCAAAGCAGAGACTTGACATGTTTTAGATCTGAAAAGGCTTGGGACATGTTTTTAAAAAGTAAAAATATCTTCTTGGCTTGCATCTCTGTGTCTTCTCAGCATTTTCATTCTCAATGCACTTCTGTTTTGATCAATGTTCTGATAAAATCCAGTTCTCTCAAAGTATTTCTTAATGTGAAAGAAATCATGGTTGAGTGTGTGCTCAAATTTAATTTATGTAAGTTTAGGATCACGTAGATGTGAGTTGCCCACTTTTTAATTCAGTGCAATTTTCCTCCAAGACTGTCTTCCTAATGACATTTTTTTGGTAGTATCCCTTTGCTTGCTGTTTATTTCACAGTCTGGTACACATACTTCCATATTAATTCCTAGGTCTTCATTAGCCTTTTTTGCTGTATACCTGACAGTCCCATTTTTAACCATTTCTTTCCTTCTTTGTTTTGACCTCATTCTCCTCACTCACAGTTTCCAGTCCAAACTGCATTTACACCTGACAGTCATTTTTCTTTTAATAATATTGCATCTCCAGCAGAGCTTTAGCATTACTTGCCCTTTTGATCTCTAAATTCTTGATCCCTTATACCTATTCCTCCCTCGCCCCCAGTTTCTTTTAATATCTTTAGTCACCTGTCACAGCTTTACAGCTCTGTACACCATGTCATCATCTGATAATTTTCATGGCTTTTACTTATATATACACATTATAAGTATACAAATGTATACTTATAAATGTAGTACATATTTTCCTTCCTGTGGAATGCATTTTATATGATCTTGTCTATGTTATTCCTTCCTTTTATATTACTCTTTAATTTATTACCAGTAAACTAAGGGATATTTAACAGTTGCTCTTGGAAGCCTATACTTCTATTAGTACCTACTGTATCCAGCAATAATTAATTATTACATTCAGAGCAAATCCAACCACATTAAACATCTTTTGAGACAAGTGGTTTATAATATATGTCAGTAGTGAATGTTTTCAATAGTGTAGACACTCTTCAGTCTCAGTTTTTAAACATATTTTATATGTTTAATACCATCACTTTCATAAATGCCCTGTCACATTTAGTAGGGTGACTCTCTGGGAGAGAGAATTTGCAGAGTAAGACATATGATCCATCAACCATGTACATAAGCATTGAAGCTAATTGCACGTCACACTTATGTGCTGATACAAATACTCAGATGAGAGGGAGAAATAAAGATGTTTGTAAGACAGGGTGACTTAGTTTCTAAAAACCTCTTATTTCATGCATATAGCAGTATTTAGATTGAAATAATGAATAATTTTTAAAGACACATGCTTTAGAACAGAATTTTTGTTTCAGCCTATTATATTATTTTAGTATTATAATATGTTATGTTATATGTTATCCTTGATAAACTAACACTACAACCATTACTGATATATAGATAACTTTTATGTTATTTTTTCTTTCACAGCAACTACAGTGCACTGTTAGGAGTGTGGATCTATGGCTTTTTTGTTGTGATCTTGCTGATATTGGACCTTTTATATTACTCTTCAATGAACTATGACATTTGCAAATTTTACCTGGCACGGTGGGGCATCCAGGGAAAGTGGATGACACAGGGACAGAGCCGATGGATTAACCCTGCTCAGGATCCAAGCCAAGTACAGACACAGCCTCAGCCAGAGACACAGCCTCAAACTCAGACACAGCCTCAAACATCACAGACAGTGCATACTTTAAAAGGAGATGCTTTAAGCCCACCCCTGATGACTTTTCAGAGTACATCTGCCTGGTAAGTAAGTCAATCCATATTATGATACAGTTTTTGCCTCTGTAGTTTTATAGTGTGAACAGTCACCTGTGTTTAGAAGTGTCTGCAAATTCAGGCTGAATGACACTATTTCTAGCACATAATTCTTTATATCATGAATTACCTTACAGAGTTACTGCTTAGGAGTGATTTCTTAATCTGGAATAAAAATCATCTTTTAATATTGTTCTCAGAGAAACAGGTTCTGGCATTTTTTTATTTTTTTTTTTTTTTTGTGCTAAATAGTTTTACTACTGTATGATACAAATAAACTAAAAATCTTTGTTCTGCATCAACCATTATAAAATTAGTTTTAATCTTGTGTCAGAGAGTAACTGCTGTGTGTATCTATGTGTCTATTGGTCTTGTTTTAGGAGTTGCATATATTGCAACACTGAAATAGCTTCAGTGGAGATATCACAAATCCACACTATTTGTGGTATGAGGCACAGAAAAAATACAAAAACCAGGTTAGCTTTTTTTATATGCATAGCCAAAAAAAAAGTGTAGCTTGATCTCATTTGACAGAGTGAAACAAGTAGGCTACTGCAAAGTTAAATCCTTAAGTAAAAACAAAATAAAGCCCCCCAAAAAGCAGACCAAATTGAGGAGACATAATGTAGGAGCAGGCAGAACATGCAATATAAGAAGCTAAATACTGATAGCTGTAGGACAAAATGACATTGAATGATTTTGGACTGTTGTTACCAAAGAAAACAGAAGCAAAAGAACAGAGACTGATATAATAATGCTCTAAATAAGCTGTCAAGAAAGGCATCAAGTTTTTTTCTTTGCAAGAGACCATAAAGATTTGGAAGGGGGCAGAGACAGGACACTTAGGTGTGTATTTTAGAAGGCTAAGTCCTGAACCCTTGCATAGCACTGTGTTGCAGATGGGGTTGTGACAGCAGTAATTCTTTTATTTCATAACTTGCCTTTTAATTTTAAATGTAAATCTAGAGCAAACAGGGTTGAATATTTTTTGTAATAGAAAAGGTAGTGATAGTTTGACACAAGGACAAGGATCAGTGGAAGAGGAGTTTTTTTGGCGTGGTCGTCAGTACTGGATGCATCCAGTACAGATTGAAGGATTATTCTAGCAGGCCTTGCCCAGTAGGAGAGTCTGACAGTGCTACTTAAGATAGAGGCTTGCTTGTGCTTAGTTGTAAGCACTCTTCTTTTTACTTCTTCCTCTTCTCTCTTTATTTCTTCTAATTCCTTCAGCTTTTTTGTACATTGATTTCCCAGTCTTCAGTCAGAATTGCCATACCGGTTAAGACCAGCACATGCAGTAGTACAATAATTCTATTCTAGCTCAATACATGTGTGTGTGTCCATATGTGTATATAAAAATCCAGTGATTGAGTGAATGTATACACACATATAAAAATATTAGCCTCATACCAATTCCTCCAAACCATTGCAAATTAAAGGAAATTATTAGATAATTCTGGAAGGATTCTTGGTCACTTTCCCGTACTGACTTTTGGTGTTCTGTCTCTTTGCTTTTTCTTTTTTGAAGCATTAAGCGGGGAATGTATGTTAGGATCAGGTGAGCATATACCATATGCTCCTTTTCCTGTGTTTGCAGGAGATGAGCATTGATAAGTCACCCCAGTAACCCTCATCCCTTTTGCAGTGAACTGTCTGTGCTCCCCTCAGTTCCCATAAAATTGTTTTGTTTTCTCTTTCTAATCCTTTCATTGCTCAATGGAAGAAATAACTAGATGTTTCCTTAGCAAAACTATAATTTTTCCTTGTATTTCAGTATGTAAAACACTACAACAGATGCCATATTTTCAAACTTATAACCTGCAATTTTTGAAACTCACAATCGCCGACTGACAACTTGATCTGAGTTGAATAGATAAAAAGTATCAAGAAAAAGGTAGTTGGCACTGGTGATCTCATGCAAGGTGTTCAGCATGTGAAAGAGTTTTTTTGAGTAAACAGTTCCCTCAGAAAATTACAGACTTGGGTATTATAACAATGGCTAAAACAGTGCTGATTAAAAGGAGGTTGCTTGGCTGTTTATTACTCCATTAGATAATCTGCAGATTATATACATGAAAATATAGTAATTTTGCTATATAGAAAGTCTCAGAGTCTGGTTCTGCTGCAGTCTATATTGGATGGGTGATGTCAGTACTTCTAAATATGCAATCATGTTATCAGTGAAGAAATGCAGTGGAGCTACTGGATTTATAATTTCCATCACTGATTTTTTAATTACCTAATCTATTAATATCTTTTTTGTATTTTATACCTCAATTTCCATTATTGTAGGTGATGACACCAACCTCTTAGATGTTCTCACAACAGCAGGTTTTCAACCTATAAAATGAAGCTTTCAGTTTGCATTGGCATTGTTAATGTGTCCTAAACTTGTCTCAGCTTTTTCCTCTGTAAAGAAAATAAGCATTTTTCTTTAGTACCTCAGAAGCATGGTTATATATATGTGGCATCATACCATAAAAACATTTCCTGTTTACTGATGAGTGTTTTGAAAATACAAAATAGATTCTTTAATCCTGTGAGATATGCCTATATCCCAGGGCATAAAAAAATACTGCTAAAAACATTTCCCAAAACAGTCTGCAAGTATTCATGATGACAGATGTTGTTGAAGTTGTTAGCTTCCTGTACTACATCTATTCTAGAACAGTTAAAAAACCATGCCTGTTCTAGAAGACAATACACGATCATAATAGGGAAGTGATTCTTGCACATCAAGAATCTCAGCAATGCCAAAGACTTTATGTATCCTTATTGTAGAGAACTGACAGTTTAAAAAACTATGCACAGAAAGATGGCAGGATTAACCTGTAGTTTGTAAAGCAGTTTGGGATCTTCCTGGATGTAAAAAAAAAATACTGTGTGATTTTTATTTTGTTGTTTCTTTCTGTGTTCTAGTTTAAATGCTATGAATTGGCAATGAAATCGATGTTTAAAACAGGTATGTCAGAGAGAAATATCAAGCAAGTCATACTATGCAGTGGGTAGAACCATCCCCAAGATGTTGAAACATTTTGTTGTGGCAGATAACTTTCTTGTTTACTTGAGACAAAGAGGACCATGTATAGCCATAATATTATTATAACTAAAATAATCTGGAATCCATTATACATGCTGCTGGCTGCTCTGCAGAGAGCTTGCAGTGTTGTGCAAGGACAGGAAAGAAAACCATTAATCTGAGAGCCCGATTTAGAATAATGTTTCTTCATTATGCAGTGTATGCATTTTGCAGCCCAACTAATATTGATTTCTTCTTTAGTATGGAAACCATCTGAGGTCTGTCCAAAGGCCTGTGTGGTCTGAAGGTCCTGATGGATGTCCCTTCTGCAACCCAAACTCCATCACAGTCTGCAAGTGAATGAGCTTAAATGATTGTGGCTTGCCTCATGGTGGTTCCTCCAGGTCATGGCTGAGGTGCATCAGCTGGGCCCTTCCACGTTAAGTGGTGCATGTAAGAATCTGCAGTCTGGTTAGCTTGAGCAGGCTTTTAACAGCTGGAGATCAGAGAGCAACAAGTAGCAGGCAAATTATTACTGCTGCTTGCTCAACAAAATACAAGCCAGGGAGGCGATACCATGAAACATTGTTACGTTGGGGAATCAGTATTCTGACTACTGAAAACACTTGTTCTCACCCTCGTGAAAATATTGTTAATTAATAATGACTAAAAAAGGTCAGACTAGCAAGGAAGAGCACAAAAGAGGAAGTGTGCCAGGCAGTCAGGCAGAGTCTCTCCATATACTTAGTGACTGTGCTGTGTAACATGTAAGAGAGGAACAGATCTCTCTGCCTTGCTCTGGTGAGGGTAAGCTCCTCCCCGCCCCATCAAGGATGCAAATCACGCAGAATACTTTCTTGGAATTCTAACTTTCGCCTTGCTGTTCCATGCTTCTGCACAACGGCATGCAGAGGCAATGTCCGCTCTGTATGTAATCACACATGTTATGCTACATGACTTAAGTTTTGGAAACCTGCTGGTTGTCCAGAATCAGGAAAAGTATCAGCCCAGCAGGGTAAGGCAATGCTTATTTCCTTTATGCAGTTGAAATGGGTTAGACAAAGGCAAGTCTATTTTACTTCCTCTGATTAGATGTTGCAATCTGCTTCTGCTGTGAATTCCTCTGAGTCACGTTGCCTTTCAGACAACAAATAGGATAGTTTAATTTTTAGCATGCTGCTATTCACCTGCTACTTGACACCTCTTCAAATGACTACCAAAGCATTCAAAAACAAAGAGAGAGAAAAGCCTATACAAAATATAAAAATGGCAGTTTAGAAGCCAGCAGGTAACTGAGCATGTCCACAGTAACTGTGAATAAAATCCCAAAGGAATAAATACTTTCCTGATGGCTAAAAAGGCTACATGAAAGTATTCCCTTTGATACCAAATTTTTAAACAGGATACAAACTGTCACTGGAGTAAATATCTGCACTCAGTAGATCCTCTGCTGCAATAGTTTTCAAGAGCTGTGCATGCAGTCTTTTTTCTGTGTCATTCAGCTTGCAATATTGGTGCTGAAGTGGGTCAGCTGTGCAGTGCGAACATGGCCATAGTCCACCGAAAACATTAGATGCCGGGGTGGCAGGAGGGTTCTGTGCGGAGGCTGCACAAGATATTTACAGTAACAAAGTGAACAAAATCTGCCTCCTTCCATTTTAAGTGTTTTGAAAATAAGAAAGGTCTTAAATTTACACCTGCAAATCTCTACATTAAGCAGAAATACTGTTTCAAAGATGAGATTTTTTTTTCAACATAAGGCAAAGAATATTTTTTATTTACAGCCCTTCTGTAGATTTTTATATTATGCTCAGACTAAATACAGCAAACTAGAGCACTAATAATGTTTTTTAAAACACAGAAAGGAATAAAATTAAATGCTTTTATAGTGCTTTTATGCAAGAACTCTTTGTAATTAGCATCATCTGAAGAATCTGTCTGGTAACAGATGATAGGTGTGTCAAGAAAC